TTAGGTGTGGCAATGGAATAACCAGATAAGTGGTTTGGATCTCACATGTACCAGCAGTGGCAGAAAGCTCTTATCTTGCTGTTCTAACCCGACTTCCTAAGGAAATTAGCTTTATGGAGCTGTGCTGTGTGTCTGTCTCCTTCAGTAATCTCTGGAGCTTTGGGCTGGTTTAGGTATGTTTGGCAGAACAATAAAGTTATAGTTTTAGAGTTGAGGCTCCTTTGGCCTTTATGTAAATACCATACATTAGTTTAAAAACAGAGCCCTTGTTCTGCTATGGTTCTCTAGAGAGTGGGACAGGAGAATCCCTGTGGAAAGTCTCTCCTTGGCTCCAGCTGCAGGGAAAGCTTTGGCAGGAACCAGCAGCCAACACAGGAGAGTTTGTGGGGCCATGTGTCAGTGCTGAAAGGAGGGGATCAGCTGGACACCAGAGGGTCACTGGACACCAGGATCTTTGTGCCAGGTGTCTGCTGGGTCTGTCCATGAACTTCCAGGGTGTGGGATATTCTTGTGACAGGGCCTGGGAAGTGCTGTGCTGGTGATTTATGCATTACCACTTCCTGAATGGTGTTCATGCTTTACTTGGTGCTGAGCAGCTGCCCCTTGAAACTTGAGCCATTGCTTCATTTTTGTTCCTGTTTTGATTGCAAGTTGATCATTAATTTCACAATGTAAATCCATTTTATTTAGAAGGACTTCTAATCCTTTTATTTTGTTGAAGATTTTTCCACTGCACTTGCCTACCTGCCTTCCTGTGTGTGTGGCCATTTTGTTGATGGGGATTTAGCCTCATGTTTCCTGGCCCCAAGCAGTTTCAAGAAAAGGATTCAACATCCCCACCAGTGGTAAAAAATTCTAGAATTATTTTTAAGTCCTGCAAATGGGAAAGCATAGGGACAGATCTTGTCTCTCCAGTTTTGTATCCAAATTGTTATCTTACTAATGGAAGTTAAATGTTCAGCATTGGTGACATGAAAATGAGGAAAGAAAATAGTTTTACTTTCTTTTTCTAGTCATTTTTTTATGAGAGGAAGTGGCTTTTGGTTCCAAGAGTCATCAAATCAAATTCCTTTCTCCAACAAAGCCAGACTTTTTTGTGACGTGTGGAAACTTGCCAGTTTCTGGTATCTTGCTGTAGGATAAAAGAGCTTTCAGACATGAGTCCCAGGTTTGTAATTCAATCTCCTTGGGAAGAGCTCCAGGGAATTGTTGCTGAGATCAGGGAGGCTTTGCATGGCAACAGAGATGTGGGCAGATCTGATTGCTATGTCTGAACCCAGACAGGCTCCTTAACTTCTCCTGATCTGCATGTGCAATCAGGCATGCTTCCAACTTTCTGGCTGTTGATTTATGAGTATTTGTAGGTGGTGATAACTGGGTGAGCTTCAGGATCTGTAAGTCTGGTTTAATGCTGACTCTTCCTCACAATTGCTTAATTGAAATGAGTTTTTGTTGATGTTCCACTGATGGTACAGAGCAAGGAGATCTTCAGCTGGACTCTGGAGAGCTGGACTCTTCTAAGCAAAGGCTGCAGCCTGCCTGTGAAGAATACTAAACAAGAATTGATTTTTCCAAACTTTTTCCAAATGTTCAGTGGCATGGGAATGTATGGCTTTAATACTTGTGGAAAAATGCTGCTTTGACACCTCTGAAGTTCACTATGTGACCCCAAGGAAGTTAAGATTTGTGTGTCTCAGGGTAAAGAGATATTGGAAGCTTAATCTCTCTGTCTGAAGGTGAAACTTAGGCCTGGAAGGGGCCTCAGCCCTTGGTGCTGCTGTGGGTCCTTTGCCATGATGGGATGTGGGATAAGGAAGGGGAAAACCCATCAGCTGTGCCCTGCTGTGAAATACTCATTTAACACAGGCCACTGAATAGTCACCAGCGAGCAATTCTTAAAATTAACTAACCAGAGCTGGATTCAAACCAGTAAATTTCCTAATAATAAAAGGTGTGAAAATGTCTTACAATAAATTAAAAAGAAAAAGGACTGGAAGGACAGTCCTACCTGGAAATTGCCCTGGAAATACTGCTCTTCCTTTCAGAAATTAAAGATGCCACTGTACTGTATCATATTAAATACCTTTTTGTCCCATTTTTGGCTACATTAGCCTGGAATAAGGTTGCTCCTCCAGTAATCTTGTTTCTTTCCTATTTACACTCGCTTAAAAATGATTCTACCTTTAGAGATAACTTCCTTCACCACTTGTTTATCATTAATTTCCTCTCTGGTTCATGTGGCATCCCACCTGTCTATATGGAAGGTGGATTTACACCAAGAGCAGGTGCAGACACAAAAGGGATAAAGCCCTTAATTGCAGAGCTCAGCTCAGAGCTGAGCCAGGTGAGAGGAGCTGTGTCCCACAGCACCCTCAAACCCAGCCCAGATGGGGTTCATGGGGTCCACAGGTCACCTCACAGAACCAAAATTTCTTGGGGAAGCACAGGGATCACCCCTGAGCTTCCTGCTGCAATCTCAGACTCTTTGGAGCAGACTTTGCCCCAGCCTGTTACCTCAGGGGAGCAGCTCCATCCAGGCTGGAGCCGAGGCCACCTGCTCCTTCAACAGTGTTTTAAGTGGGTGATTGAAAATCAAAAAGCAGCAAAGACATGGAGCTTTCCCAGTGCTCTCATCCTCATCCTTCCCTCTTGCTGAAGGGATTCCCCGAGGTGTGGCTGTGCTGGGCTGGCCACTGGCACTGTCACCACTGTGCCCTGTGTGCTCTGAAGGACAAGGGGCTCATGGGCAGTGCTGTGTCTGCCCACCCATGCCCAGCGAATTCTGAGCCCTCAGCTAATCTCGGCCAAATGTGACAGAGGAGGAGAATCCTCCCAAGTTGTTATTTTGGTTTTCACTAGAGTCAGCTGAAAGGATCCTGCTGGGAAGGAGTGGGGTGGGAGCTCTGCCTCCCTCAGCCCCCCGAGACTCCAGTGGGTCAGGGCTGGTTTGGGAGCAAAGCCAGCCCAGGGGCAGCTCTGCCTCCTCATGAGCCACCACAAAGTGACTTCTCCTTCTTGTGTGCCCAAGCTGGACCTTTCCCAGCGCCCAGAGGTGAGAAATGTTATAACTGACTCCTGTGGGGAAGCAGCAGGCTGGTCCACAGGAGTGACTGGAGAGTGCTGTGACAGAGCACAGCCACTGCTCATCGTCCTCTGTCTCCTGCAGGCCAAGGTAGCCAGTGTCTATGAGTCACCTGGCTTCTTCCTCGACTTGGATCCAATTCCAGGAGCCCTGGAAGCTGTGCAGGAGATGTTCCACATGCAGGAGTAAGGACACTTTGCACCCTGCAGCCCTTTTCCAGCACCTTACACACTTTTCCCTGACTGCTAACAAAGGCTGCTTCTTTTCAGCACTGAAGTTTTCATTTGCACGAGCCCTCTGCGGAAATATGAGCACTGCATCGTGGAAAAGGTAGGAGAGAATTGTTTTTATTTGGTTTAATGCTGCTTTTTCAAGGCCTTGCTGTTTCATACTACCCAAGTTGGAGCTACTCCTTTCTAAGGACAGCAGCTGCTCCAGCTGCTAGGTTTCCCTCAATCCCTATCTGAGGGATACCTTCCCACACAGAGAAGTAACTCAGGACAGGGAATCTCCAAGTGACACATGGTGCCAGAATTACTGAGGACCACATGAGCCCTGGGCTCTTGGAACTGGGACCAGCTGTGTCAGCAGGTGACAGCAAAGGAACCGTTGTAGTGCAGCCCACAGGGATGGGGATTCCCAGGGGATTCCACTCTGGAGAGCCACCAACCAAAAAAAACCTACTTCAGTCTAAATCTGGAGCCTTAGATCTCCCAAAAGAGGTCAGTGTTGAGGAGGCTGTAATGTTGGAATAAATCCTTTTTGCCTATGGCATGGGCAAAATGCAAGGGGGACTTTGGTCACTGGAATGACTCAGATGGGTACAGCCATGTGCTCTGGGCAAGCAGCCAGTGCTTCTCATAAACTCAACAGTTGGGCACAGCCAGAGCAGTGCTGAGTGAAGCTTTCATCAGCATCCTGGGCCACAGCCAGTCTACGTGTGGGGATTCCTAGACACAGGTGAAGGTTTATGGGGGAAGAAATTGCTCTTAGGGCTGGTCTGACATGAGTGATGTGCAAACTGAGAGCACAGCAGGATTCTCTCCTATTCCTTGTCTCTGCAGTATAAGTGGGTTGAGAAACACTTGGGACCCGAGTTTGTGGAGCGGATTATTCTGACCCGAGACAAGACCGTGGTGGCTGCTGACCTGCTCTTTGATGACAAGGACACCATCCAAGGTTTGAACAGCATTTCCATGGCTGGCTGCTGGCTGGGGAACCACCCCCCAGCTGGCTGCAGCTTTTCCCCCCTTTCCCACAGGTGCAGAACCAAACCCGAGCTGGGAGCACATCCTGTTCACCTGCTGCCACAACAGGCACGTCCAGCTGCCGCCGCCGCGCCGCCGCCTGCACTCCTGGGCTGACGACTGGAAGGCCATCCTGGAAAGCAAGCGCAGGCAGTAGTGCAGGAAAGGAATGCTGCACTCTTCCCACTGCCAGGGCAGAGCACATCCCCTGCCTTGCCCACGAGGCACTGTCACTGTGGGCATCAGCCATAGGAAGAAATGAGCTGCTCCTGTCAGACACAGTGCTCTGGGGTTTCTGGAAGATTGCTCTACACTCAATCTCTGTAGCGTTTTGGATGTTTGCTGTTGGAGAAGAGAAATTATAAACAGCCGTGATTGGGTTTTTGCCTGTGGTTTAACCTCACTCCTGTTTGGTTTGTGCTGTCTGGGGATAGAGGGGAGAGAAAAAGAGGAAGAAGGCTCTCAAATGTGAGTAGACCCAGTGTGGGTGTCTGTCAGGAAGCACTGGGCCCAACAGTAAAACCTTTTAAATTTTGGGCTTTCTCTTGCCTCATGGCTGATAATGAACAGAGACTAGGCTGGCTTCAATTTCTTGGCCCATGTGCTTGAGTAAGAGTGGGCAAAGGCTACAAGTGCTGGAGAAAAATATTCATGAGCTCATACAGAACTGATTACACAGCATTTAAGTTAATGTTTTATTAACAGAAGCTTTTACAAGACAGCTGTTCTCATGAGCCAGACTGCCCTGAGCCCCTTTTTTTTTTTTTCTTCACCTTTCTCACCAGTTGTAATGAAAGACAAACCTACTAGTTCTTCATTTATAGGGCAGCTACAGCCTGCCCTATGCAGTGATTGCCTAACTGGCTGCCTCTGCCGTTAGAGGACGGCATAACTAGTGCCACAGAGATGGAGAGATTATGAACTGCCAGGGCAGGGAAACTCCTTTTTCTGCAGGAAGAAGAGATTTCTGTGACATTTCAGTGACTTGACACTTAGCATCACTTGTCATGGATACTGAAGGGGAGAGGTGCAGCACAACTAGCCAGAAACTGGAGTGGATGTAATTCTACCCAATAACCCAAGCAGAACACCCCTCATTGCTGGAAAGGGCTATTTGTGCAAGCTGGGTGCTGAGCTGCACTTGGCAAAGTACTTTCCAGTGTGCAGCCATGACCTGCTTTATTTTAAATATTTGCAGGCTTAGCTATTGGCCCAGCTGCCATGTTAGTGCTGTTCCATCCTGTTTATTAACTAAACACCAGCACTGGTGGGACCAACTCCCCTCTTTAACGCTGTTGTTGCCCTGCTGAGCAGAAAGCGAGAACAGCAGGAGGTTCCCCCCTCCACAGCCCTGCTCAGTCCTTGGGCAGAGGAATCCCCACTGCCGTGTGCCTGCTGAGGTTCCTGGCCTCCTCCACCTGGGGAGGAGTGCAGTAATCCTGCAGGAAGATGGATGCCAGGTTGCTGAGGCGCCTGTTGGCCGAGAGCGAGAAGCGGAGCATGCACTCCACCACGGGCAGCGCCGTGGTCTGCGCGCGCGACCGCGGCGTCGTCAGGAACATCAGCGTGGTCACGGCCGACACCACGGTCTCCTCGTTGGAGCTCGACAGGCAGTTGATGATGGGCTCCACCCCGTTGGCCTCCAGGATGTACTCTTTGTTCGTTTTATCCAAGCACAGGTTGCAAAGGCCACCTGGAAAGGCAAGAGGAAAGTGTCTGAGGTGATGCAAATTCACTGCTTTTAACATCCAGATCTTCTGTATGGATGGAAAATTCTTAATGGTTCTCTAGGCCATGTCTTTTTTATTCTTTCCAGCACACTCCTCCTCCTGCAAGTCATTAGAGGGCACTGTTACTGCTGTACATAACTGCTTCCAAAGAATGATTCCAGGAATGCTCACTCATCCCTAATGGAAGACACAAGCCAGCAGTTTATTGCAGGTCCTACAGAAAGCCAGAGAATGGAGGTAACAGAGTTAGTAGCCAAGAAGCACAGAATGTTTGAAATTTGAAACTTTGAGATGCAGCAACAAACCTTAAAAATCAAAGCCGTTTAGTATCATCTCACAGAACCACTCACAGCATCTGGCCCTTTAGCTTATGTTCAGACCATGAAAAATCATAGTAAGGCAGCTCCTCGAAAGATTTATTAAAAAACGTCAAGTAAATATTGTAGAAGACCAGTTGCCAATAGCAGAATGGTTACAGGGATATGTACAATGTACCTGGCAAAATCTATGTATTAATGACTGCTTCTCTACAGGATAAATTTCACTAAAAAGTTAATCAGCGTTTAGGAAAGAAAAAAACCAAAATCCCTTCCAGATAGTGTCTTCGTTAAGCTCTGTAAGGACATGGAGGGTCGTGCCTACCTGTGCCTTCTCTCCCATTCTGCACTAAAGGAGGCTTTATCAGCACAGTGTGTTTGTTTGTTTTTGCAGCCCTGCGTGAATTTGGGGCGGATTACCGAGCAAAGCGAGCGCGGGGCCTGGTGTCCCCTGCCCGGGTGACAGCTGAGCGTGCTCGGGCAGCCCTTACCCATGGCAAACTCCACCAGGCTCTCGTTGTCCTCGGTGAGCATGTCGAGGAACAGGTCCAGCACCTGCAGCTGCCGGAGATACTCGTAGTTGCTGGGATCGTAGGCGAAGTTGGCCAGGTTCGCCAGCACCTGCTCCTTGGCCTCTGCAAGGGAAAAGGGCCGGGTGTGTGAGGAAACGCTCGACACGGAGAGGCCGAGCGAGCAGCGCCGTTTGTTACCTGTGCTGTCCGTCACCTGGAACTCGGTGACAAGCGCCTGCAGATACTCCAGCCGACCCAGTTCCATCGCGGGACACCGCACCGGGCTGCCCGTTCCCCCGGGCAGCGTCGGCTCAGGGACCGGGTGTAGCGAGGAACGGGGAGGAAGCGGCCACCTCTCCGCGGCAGAACAAGGCCGCGCGCCGCCATTTTGTGGGCGGGTGAGGGCGGCACCGTCTCCCCTCAGGCGGGGCGGGAGCGGCCGCCATTTTGTGGGCGGGAGGCGGGCCCGCTCCTCTGAGGAGGAGAGGTGGTGGCTGCTCCTCGCCTCCCTCTCTCTAACTATATTATATATAATTATATATTTTTAAATACAAATATATAGTATGTATAAAAATGAATGAGCCTGTGCCGAGGTGTTTGGCTGTCTCATTATATGGCAAAGCCTTGCTGTTTAAACGCTTTATTCTGCAAAGCAGCTGACCTTTCCCCACTGATTACTTAAAGAATTTTCCACCTCTGTATATGTTCTGCTGTTCCATCCCAATACCGTTGTTCTTGTGGTAGCTGCTCCTGCATCAGTTCCAGTTTAAATAACGGGATTGCAATTCATGAAGCCGAGGGAGAACAGGTAAAAACAGGGCACAATACGTGCACAGTGAGGTAAATTATCTGGGAAAAAAAATGAAACAAAGCCAGGGAGTGAATTAAAAGATCAGCAGGTGGTTTCACCTTGGTTGTACAATGGTTTGGGCACAGAGCAGAGCAATTCCCTTGTCTCGAGCTAAGCTCAGTGAAACCACTGCAATTTTACGTGCTGTAAGAGGGTTCAATTATGGTTCATGTCCTGTAAATATACAAGGTAAAGGTTAATAAAGATCATAAACTGTAGGAGTGGACTCTGCAGAAATCTGTACTGCTTTTATTGAAGCAATTACATGCTTGGCTGTTCTTCTGTGGATAAGGCAAGGAACAGGCCGTGAGAACATGTTGTCTTTTGTATTATCTCAAATACAATTGATTTTCATATCAAGCAAATTAGTCATGGACTGATCCACATGGCACCAGTGACAAGAGTGGTGGGCTTATAACCCCCACAGCTGAGGGCATTAAAATATCTGCCCATGACTACATTAAATGGAAGGATGAGCAAAGCTTCACTGAATGCATTAATGCTAAATATTTTAACATTGTAATGGTATGGGAAGATACAGAACATGAAAGGGAAGATACATATTTCTACCTGGTATAAAAGTTCAATCCAGGCTAAGTGCTGGCAACTTCAGCTCTTAGCATGATTGTCAACTGAATATTTATGTAAATGTCTAAATATGTACATGTATTTTTATCTGCATATCTGAGTGTATCTATCTGAAAATGATCAGCAAAGGTGCTACAAACTATGTCTATATTAGAATGTTTTGCTACTGTAGTAGAAAGAAATCTCATATGTGCCTGTGTAAGTGGTAAGTGTTGGTAAACTTTAAAGCCTCATCTGTCATTAAATAAAAGGTGAGTGAGTAATGTGGGAAAGCAGGAGCAGAGAAAGCAAACATGGAGCTAGTCCATACAAACAGAGCCCTACTGAGATTGACTAATAAGAGGGGGGGAAATTGTGTTTAAAAAGGAAAAGTACAATTACTTCTGTTTATAAGAACTGCATTTACCCTCCCAATATTGGCTGTATAGGTTAATGGTCTGAGTGCTCCAAGCATTTGCTGTTTGCCAGAGCAGTTCCCAGAGCAGGGGTTGGTCTAGCCAGGGTAGTCACAGCTCCAGGGACTATTCTGGTGACTTCCATAGCCAGAAGCCAGAATTCAGGAAATTTTAATTTCTAGTAGTGGTTTCTTTTCTTGTAGCTACTAGCCATGTCTGGAAATAGCAAGCCAAGCTTGTAAATTAAGTGCTTTTGCACTTCAGAGATGTCTTATTGTGTAACATTGCTGTAACCTTTATTTGGGGTTTATTGCTACTAAATATAAATAAATAATAATATTAAGCTTTCCCAAGCATTACCATGGCAGAGAATCTTAGGCTTTTAAGGATCATGGTCTTGCAATATTTCAGTGTGATTTTCCCAGTGAATGTTTAATTTCAATGAGGAAAGTTCCTTCTTGCCAAAATGCTTCTCTTGCAGTGCTCAGAATATCTTCAGTGATAAAAGGGAGCATGGGAGCGGCAAGAGGGGGACATGGGGAGCAAGGAACATTTGATTCTGATCAGTTTCTGTGGCTCTGCTGTTTTTCAGAGATTTGTAACCTGGCTGAGTTATTAGTGTTTGTCCCAAATTAAAGCCAAGATTATTTTACTATCTGCACACGTTAAAGAAACTGCTTCAGTGGAGCTGTGGTTGCCTTGTGTAAAGGGCTGACCTTAAACTAATGAGGGGAGCTTTTATTGCTTTCTTTTCCTTCTGGTTCCCAAGATTCCTAAGGACTGAGTGTTGTTACACCTGTAGGATCTCTCTGAGGGAGAATATTTATTATTCTGTAGCATGGTCAGGTCCGTCCTGTTATCCTTTGCCAAGCTCCTGCTCAAGGCAGCTTGGAGTTCAGGTTGGAAACACACATGGGAGAGGAGACCCATGGAAAGAAGAGGAGGGGGGTTGTTTCCTCTGTTATGGGAACTCAGACATCTTATTCATCTGTGGAAACACAGCATAAAATGTTACTCCTTGTCTGCTGAGGATTTGCTTCAAAACTGTGGGTTGTGGATCACTTTTAAAGGGTCTGTGGAAAGTAACCGGGGTAGACAACCCTGTTTTCAAGCTTGAGTTCTATTAGAAATGTTTCAGTCAGCAAGCTGAGAAATGTCAAAATAACAAGTTTGTGAATTGGTTGTTTTTCTTCCCAGAAACCTCTCTTTGTGCCTGTGAATAAGTCCCAGTGACCCCAGTGATGAATCTGGGAATATCAAAAAGCACTTCTGAAAGGCACTTCTGAAAAGCACTCTCTCCTTGCTCTCCATCCTAAATTATCTTGCACTGCTGTGCACAATCAAGAAATGATCAAAACAGGTATCTTTGCCTTGGTGTAGGAGGAGATGATCTCTGTGTCAGCTTCAGTTGGTAAAGATTTTTTGGTTTTGCCCTGTACATTTCCTTTTTTATGAAGCAGCCAGGGTGAAAGCATTGCAGGTGGATCAATTGGCTCCATGCAGGAGGTACCTTCCATTACTCCTTCACCCAGCCTTTTTTTCCTGTGAGAAATTTTGGTGGATTGTAGCTTACACCATATCTTGCTTCTTTTGCCCAGGACATTTATAGCAGTGGGAGCCACATAACCTCATATTTTTTATAAGAAAACAAAAAGGGAATGTAGAAAGTCAAACAGAATTTAAAATTTAAGAATTACACACAGAGAAAATGGCAATCTGATCAGCTGCTTAGCTGTTTATTAGCAATAGCTGGAAGAGATTTGGGACTTAATCCCTTTTGTGAGAGACAAAGCCCCCTCATTTTCCTAGGAATGTACAGCAATCTGTTTTGGTAAGATGAGAAGTACCAGTCCCTGTTTACTTCATAGCTATGGATCATGTAAGCATTACATAAGTTAATAAACACATATGCTGAGAGATTAGATATGTATATCTCTCACTAATCGTTTTATTTAATTATAGATTTCATGAGGAAATGCAAATCCTCCTGGGTCCGTAATCCCAGGGCAGTATTGGAGAAGATACTGAGCTGTGGGAGCAGGGACCCTTCTGAAGAGCTGATGTAAAAGCCACCTGTGAAGCCATCATAGTCTCTGAAGACCTTGGAGTCAGTTTTCCACTGGTTTCATCCAGAGTGGGGTTTTTTTATTGGTTTGTTTATCTGTGGAGCTCTAATAAAAGATGTGGGTTTGTCACTAGGAATCTGATAGGACAGTTCTCCAGATAAACACTGCAGCTGGGTTTGATATAACGGTTCTGAGACACTGAAGTTCCACTGAAAGCTGTTACTTCTTCCACTTCACTCCCATTTTGTGCTTCCATCTTTTTGATTGTTCTGATGTGTTGGGTTATCTTTATCCACCTGCTTCCTGAGCTGTTATCCACGTGTATCAGATCAGGGATGATACAGAATATGTCCAGTTTGCATCTTGAGCTGATGCTCAGGCTGCTGCAGCCATTGTCTGAGCACTGACAAGCCTAAATCCTGGGAATGTGGCAGAGAAAGCCACTTACAGTGGAGGCTGTATGGGTAGAAAGTCAGCAACACTGGCTTTTCTCAGTATGCTTTCCCCACAGATTTCTTTGTAAGTTCTGCTTGTGCTTATAAGAGATGTAAGTTATGTTTGTACAAAGTTCTCTATAATGAGAATGTTGGTGTAATTAGGTTCAAAAGTCTAAGACTAAAGAGCTGAGCTTGTCTCCACAAAGAGGAACTACAGTTGCTTTGAATTTTGCCCTATAAATGGATATATATTTTTATTCTTAGATCTGATATCACCCTCCCTGCCCCAAATGGGTTCCAGTTAATGCTGAAGTGGTGTTTACATGAGCCATGAACCCTCTTTTATGATATATTCAACAGCACTTGAGATATCAGTAGTTATACAAAGCTGGCACTCCAAGGCTTGGTGGTTTGTTTTTTGTTGTTTTTTTTTTTTTTTTCCCCTTGAGGCTCTGGATTTGAATTTTGAGGCTTTGAAACTGTCCTTGACATGAGGAACTCCTGTACATGCTTCATAGGAGAATGTAGTTGATCTTACTAGAGACTTATCAGAGTTCTACAACCCATGTAGCTGCTTTTATATAATATTTAGAGAAGTGGAAAATAATAACACACTTCCCATGGAAAGTGTTTGTCTTGCCACCCCCAATATGGGAAGCAAACAGGAAGCCTGTGCACCAAAATTGCATATTCAGATGAAACAACAATACTTATTTGTGAAGAACTACCCATTAATATGGGTTATCCAGCATTTCCAACTGGAATGTGCTTGTGAAATTCCAGTGACTTCTCAAAGGTGGTGACTTAACCCAATTGAACTGTCTCAGCTTTTGTCACCCAGCACTGGGTCCCATGGCTGTTATCCCATGGTTTGCTTTAGGAGAGCTCAGATCTCTTTGTGCTTCATCTCCTTGGCTGGTGCTGGGTTCTGGACTGGGCCCATGGTCTGGATCACGATCTTAGAGTCTGACAAGGCCCTGTGGAGTGGAAGT